ATTTATTTTATTTTTTTAGATTATAGTCAAATCTACAGACTTTTTACTATATTTTATATAACATGTATACGGTTAAAGGTAAGTATAAATCAGAGGCTGATACTTTATAAGTATTCCAATAAAACTAAACTATTTAAATTATGAAATAAAAAATAAAAGTTATATGTAATTTATTATAGGACCATAAACAAAAAGTGTTCTTTATTTGATGTATGTAATTATGAGAGGGGAGACCCGAAAAATTGAAAATAGCCCCCCCCTTGATGTTTCATCAAAACCGCCACTGCAACCCACCCATCGTAATACGACTATTAACGACCACACAATAAAAAACTTTCCGAATCAATATGATAAGGAATCGGAGCGCTGACATAACTCAGTAAAACCAGGACATAGAGTAATATAGGTATTAGTACTATAGTAGGGCCTATATAGGTTCCTTATTCCGAAGTCCGAACAATCGCATACTTCCTCGGTGCGGCCAGGCGTACGACACTCCGTGAATTGGTCGGGACGGGCGATTGGGGCCCTGAAAATGGTATCTAGAGATAAAGTAAACGAAATCTGAATAATGAATACTGAATGGTAAACAAGCCGACCCCGCGCAGCGTACCCAGCCTACGTGGAAGTGAACGTTTACATAATACCAGTATACCACTTTGGGTCTAACATCATATTGGTAAACGTTTCCTTGTTTTTCGGAGGTTCAGACATCAGATCATAGCCCATAGGTAAACAAGACCCCAACCAGCTGATCGCGTGTCGCTTCTATATTGTTCTATTGTGCGGCAGAACCGTCGCGCGTCGCTGCATTATCTCGCATTTTTATCTTTATCATTATCGTTGTTGTTTATCCGAAAAATTGTAAGCGGTTTAACTTTCTTTTCTCGATTTTTTGCCTTCTCAACCTTTCTTATTCGCCCCTACTGCTACGTTCGTTTTAATTATTCTTTTAAAACCCGCGGATGTGCGGCTCACAACCTATCCTGGTAATAGCGTTCACAAACCGATCGTCTTCAAATCAGTCGTCTTCGTAAGCATCGCCGTTTGTTACAACATGGATTTAATAAACCTTTATTTTTTCATAAGAAATGTTGCTGAATACACTGTACTAGACACAAGTGTAGTATTTAAAATTTCATCGAAAAGTTATGGGTATAGTTCGGGATGCTATGGAAGTGTGTGATATTGTTTTTACTTTAACCAATTATTTTGTTGTTTTTAGTTACAAATTACGAGAAAACTTTCTGAAACAATATTGGAAAAATCACGTTAAACACAAATTGTAGCTACTACCTCATCATGTAGCAATCAAGAAATGTTGTACAATATTGATAACAGTTCAAACTTTTCACAGGAACCCAATGTACAAATGTTCAGTAGCACTTATATGTCAAGTGAGATTTGCTATATGATTATTATATACTCAATAATGTTTCTAATAATTTTGCTGTTAATCGTGGTAAGTATTATGTATTAACTTTGAGTTTTTTTTTTATGTAAATGAAAGACATTGAAAAGGTTATAGTGGAAAAAAATTTAATCACTGCAATTCATTGATCCACTCATTTAATTTACTTACAAATTATATCAAAGTATGCTTTGCTGGTAACTAAAAACTGTTATAATTAAATTAATAAATAAAAAACTAAGTATTTTTCTACTTCAGATGCTGCTCATACAATATGTATTCAATATTATAAATGAACAATTAGTTTAAACAAATGTATATATATATATATACCTGAATGCATAGTCCTAGGCTTATACCATGATAATACTCAAATTCCAGATTTTAAACTCAATGAGGTAAGAATATAAAATGTTAAGACAATTTTTCGTATGTATATATTATCTGTTAGGTACATAGAAATCACTTATGCATATTCCATTTTATAGTCCTATTAATGACTTACTTCAATTTTGCAGACAAATTTTTATAACAAGAAACGGAGGCACTGATATCAAGAATTTCATTAAACGTGTGTTACAAAGACTTTTCAGTAACTTGCTATCTTCAAAAGGTCCATAGACAGGTTATGTCCTTATCCTAACCCTATGTTTATGAGCATCATGAAAGGTAGCTTAAATATTGTTGAGTTAAAAATTGCATACCATAAATAATTATTTTTGTTTGTTTATTTATATTATAGATTTGTCTAGAAACAAATTCAATTCATCAGATCACGATTTTGAGTTACATGTAAAAGACTGGTTTTCATCACGGCTAACAGTAATCTATAATAGTTCAACTGACACAAAAGACAGATTTCCTAGTTATCTACTTTCAAAGGAGAAGATTTTTTCACATGGTTTATTTAGAATAAACTAATACATAAATATATATTATAAGATCATATTCAAAAAATGATGTAGGTATAGGTACTCATTATAATAATAATTATAACAATAATAGTTTATTACAACAACAACAAGTTAACATAATTTTAAAATACGAGTATAAAATACGAAATGTTGCAACTCCTTCTGTAAGTTAAAAACTTCAATACGAATTAGTTAACTCTAATTCAAATTATCATTAAAAATATAACAAAATGTAAACAATATCATAATAAAGCTAACACATTTTTAAATTTAAATACGGAAGATTATACAAAACAAAAAACTATCTAAGATATAACACTTAATACATGATTAGTATATGAAATAAATGGAATAAAAGAAAATAGATTAAAGTGAAAATCATTGGGTACTAGGTATTTTCCTATACATTACATTATGTGTTAATTATTTTGTATGTATATGCTATATTATTAATCATTTAATAATATAATTTAATAATATAATTTAATATAATTTAATTTTCTATAATTATAATTATTTCATAATAATATGTTAATGTTTTATTCAATAACCAAAATTTGAGATAGAAATTCATTTTTATATCTCCTTATTTGTTTATAAAACAAAACAAAAGTTGTTATTTAGTTCTAGGTAAATTATTATACATTATAATATTATGTGTTATTCATTTAGTATGTAAATACCTTATTATTAATCATTTAATAACTTTAAAAGACATAAGTTATTTACTTATATTATTATTATTTCATGACGATGCATATGAATATGCATCCGTTAGAGCACTAGTAACAACCTCGTATACATGATTTCTGTTCCCCGGAGGTATACATATACTATATATTGTAATTATCATACTATTATGCTGACTAAGCGAAATCCATTATTAATTTATGTAGATTATAGTATGTGGGGGACATTTTGTATGTAAATTCCATAAGACCATGTACCTAGCTACTTATGTTAGGTATACATTTAATAATTAAATTGCAAATTTTATATTTTTATCTATGTTTGGTGTAAAGTCAGTTGTCTCATTATAATTATACATAGAAATTATGCTGTATACAATATTATTATTATTATTATTATGTAGATACTTATGCTTTATTCAATAGTAATAACTTTTAAAAGCAAATTCTTTTTTGTACCAACTTATGTTTTTATGAAAGAAAAGTTGTTCATTTTGTATGTACATGATATATTATTAATCATTTAATAACTGAATAAGAAATAAGTTATTTTCTATAATTATTATTATTTCATTATAATGTGTTAACGTTTTATTCAATAACCAAATTTTGAGATAGAAATTCATTTTCATATCTTCTTATTTGTTTATTAAACAAAAGGAAAGTTGTTATTTAGTACTATTTAAATTTTTATACATTATATTGTGTGTTATTTATTTTGTATGTAAATTATGTATCATTATACATTTAATAACTACTGAAGACATAAATTATTTACTTATATTATTATTATTTCGTGATGATGTACATTGAATACTAATCCGTTAGAGCGCGCCACTTGTAGCATCATCGTATATTTGAATTCTGTTCCCCAGAAGTATACATTGTAATTTTCATATGGATACGGACTAAGCGAAATCTATTATTAATTTATGTAGATTATAGTATGTGGGGGACATTTTGTATGTAAATTCCATAAGACCATGTACCTAGCTACTTATGAGATAGAAATCCAATGTCATACATACTTACTTGTTTATTAAACAAAAGAAAAGTTGTTATTAAGTACTAGGTACATTATTGTACATTATATTATGTGTTATTCATATTGTATGTAAATACCTTATTATTAATCATTTAATAACTTTAGAAGACATAAGGTATGTACTTATATTATTATCATTATTTCATGACGATGCATATTGAATATGCATCCGTTAGAGCACTAGTAACAACCTCGTATATTTGATTTCTGTTACCCGGAGGTATTCATATACTATATATTGTAATTATCATATGGATACTGACTAAGCGAAATCCATTATTAATTTATGTACATTATATTATGTGGAGGTCATTTTGTATGTAAATTCCATATGACCATATACCTAGCTACTTATGTTAGGTACAAATTTAACAATTAAATTGCAAATTTTATGTTTTGTTTCTATTTTTGATGTATATGCAGTTGTCTCATTAGTAATTTACATATAAATTATATTGTATATAATGTTATTATGTGTATACTCTTAACAGTTATAACTACAGCGAGTTTCCGATGGCAGTAGCATTAATTTGAAACTCGTATGGTGGCGGGTTAAGGCCCCTGCAAACTCAATTCATTTTTCATCAAATCGACCTTAGCGACTGACAAAAATTTAAGTACTTCTAGTTTTTCCATTTAATAAATGTAAATATGTTTTAATTGGTCAACAAGTCTACTTTGCATCGGTCTGACGATATTTTTGATATTTTTGATATTTTTGAAGATATTCAATACTAAAAATGTATAAATTTATAAAATGTAAAATATTTATTCCCGTCAAGAATTTTTCTAAAATTGAAAAAGTGCTCCGACTGATGCAAAGTAAACTTGTTTACCAACACCAACATCTTTACATTTTTAAATCGAGCCACTAGAAGTATTTTAATTTTTGTCAGTGCGACGGCTATTTCAAGTCCATAAATTGGTTTTGAATATTTTGATCTAGACATTGAATGACTTGTGCGTGTGTGTGTGTGCGACCATAAATCAGAGGAACGAAATAATTGCCTAAACACAACTCCTAAAAAATGACACATTTGCAGGTGCCTTAAGCCATAAGGTCTTAATTATTGTTATCTGCACAATTAATGACAACACAAGATAGTACTAAAAACCTTAAGATGACTGAAGTCGGTCGTGTGTTAAGGAAATTAATATAGACAATATAACACGATGAAATTAGAGTGACTTGTAAGTGTGTGCTATGTAAACGAATTTAAGTGTGTATGAGTATAATCGCTGTAATCGTTTTCGGACAATATTTCCTAGAAACCATCCTTCGTCGCCACTAAACTTCGTGAACAATGAACAAATTATGAGGGTTATAAATATAGGGTTTTAAAATTTCATGAAATTTATTTCCTTGAAATATTTCATTTCAGTGAAAATAAAAATAAAAATTATTGATTGAAATAATTGAAAATAATGGGGTTTAGATTTTGATATTTATTTTTAAACCTTTTTTTAAATACACCAGGAGAATTTGACAAAATAAGAAACAAGTAATAGCCTGTCCATAAAAGAAATTAATGTTGGGAAATGAACGTCTATATTTATTTAATAATCATATTATATTCGTACATTGTACCACGTAAACGCGATACTCTCCCAGTCCCTAACTACGTTCATATGATTAAAATTTATAATATTATATAAACAAAGTATATTTTGTAATATTTGGTATATTTACATTTTTTTCATAAAATATTGTCAGGACTATTTTTCAGCACTATAAATAAAATTTACAAGCATGAAATAATTAATCAACAATATTTATATTTTACTATTATATTATACTATTATACTATTAATATTATATTACTTATATTTTATTATTATGGGCTTCAAAATCATTTCCAAGTCGGCTATCTAGTATTTTTATATATCTGTGTAGTTCGCTTACCATGGTTGATATTAATTATAAGTGATAAGTTATTCATCATCAATATTATCTGTGTATAATCAATATATTATTTTATTTATAATCATCTATAATCATTAATCGAACACACACGTTTTAAAGAAGAAAAAATATTTTTCAATATTTCATTGAAATATTTCAAGGAGAGTGAAATTTTCAATTTTGAAATATTTCAAATTCAGTTGTAACTGTGGATTGATTATGTAAGACCATTTGCTCGACAACAACTATTCAGCAGAGCGGTTCCTAAAATTAACAAAAAATAATCAATTTTAATTTACTAATGAATACGAATGAAGTTTGTTCTATTTCGCAGACTGACATTTATATATTAAAATACGGAGGTCAAATTTAACACACAAACGAACAGCGGATGTAGAAAAAGAAGTGTTTATTAAAAAAAAAAAAAGCCATAACTCAATATGAAAACAAAAATATCACTTCTCGAGTTCGTTCGAAACTTGACGTACCAACAAAAATGTTCCCATAAAAAAAAAAAAAATTTGGTGTAATATTTATTATTATTTTTAACCACACTATTTCTACAAATGACAGTCCTCGGTCTTTCAAAGTGGAAAGGATAATATTATTATGTATACCTTGCATTAAGTATAAACGAGGACTCAGCGCGTACCCACATGCAACGAGAAAATCACTGACGCGACTCGAATGTCGCAATTTATATTTTCGTATTTAGGGACACGATTCGTGTGCAACTTCTCGTTCCATAGGCGAGGCTTGGAGATGGTTGGGGGATCAGCTCCTCCCATTTCACTGAACTTTTCAGCTCAGCGTCATATTATTTGTACCAGGAACTTATGCCATGACCGCGGTGTTCAGTGAGCGGTCGGCGTCGACACTCACCGCCACCGACGACGTGGAAACTTACGAACGAACGTATAACGAGGAGCAACTAATGTATGCATACGACCCTGAGACCTTAACTCACCGCGATGTGTGATGCACTGCCGCTGCTGTCTAACCACTTTTTATTCTGTGCAGCCATCGTGTTAATGTACACACCTTGTTTGTGTCTCAGTTTTGCCGCACCACTCATACTAAAGCCTTAAAGCGTACAACTGTCGCAAATGCTGCTCAACGATAATGCCCCTAAAACGCATTGAAAATGCCTAAAGGTCTCCACTGGATTTTGTCATTTTTGTATAAAAAACGTACGCACGTTTTATAAAAATTTAAACAATGGATGATGATATCGAGGCTCGACTCTTCAAATTATCCGTGGTAACTGCCAACGCAGTCTTCACAACGACCCGACGGCAATAACCATTGATATATTTGGCGTTTAGTAATATTAATATAAAAATAAAAAATATTAATAAAATCTAATTTATCATTTATTTATCACTCGATATCGAGACCACTCGGGTTTTGCTTTTATTGAAACAGTAGGTACTCTTCACTAACTGCAGAGACATTTGGATTTTGAGTACTCAATAATAATTTCCGACAAATTTACGTTTTGTATCGGGATATAAGTATGCGACTGTGCGGTACGTACTACTGTCTACTTGTGCGCAATCGGATGGTTCAATATTCGGTTAAGATGACGTCTCACCCGCACATATGTGTTGTATCCGTCTTACGAACGTTTAAACATAGTTAGAACTGTTCTGAGCGGGACTAGACCACTCATTCTGTAGTCTAAACTAAGCAACCAAATTCGCATACTATAATTCGGAGGTAAACATTTAGTGTCCAACAATGTTTTTCGACACCA